GAATCTTGAACTTCAAGAAAAGAGGAAGCTTTTATTTACTATCTTGGTCAAATTATTGCTTTTGAAAAAAAAAAACTTCGATTGTGCGAATCACAATTTCACAAAGGAAACTACACTTATTTTCCAAATCTCTAAAATCACAAGAGAGATATAATACCAGACATCTTTGTGAGCTCAATTCAGGATTTGAGAAGCGAGTTTTCCTACCGTTTCTCTCACTTCTAGCAATATGAAAATCAATTTAAATTATTTGATAACATGTGAAGCAAGTGGCAGAAAAATATCGGTCGTCGTTATCGTCAAACAAAGCGACGAATTTTTTAAACAAAATTTAATTCGGAATCCTGATCTACTGATTTCTACAAGAAATATGTTTTGCCAAACGAAAAATATAAAAGCCTATTGAATAATATGAAAATGATGGTATCATTAGTTGGAAGTATATATGCTTGTGAACAACTTTTCCTGAAAATGAAATATACTAAGAAACATTTAAGAACAAGGTTGGTTGATGAACATCTGGATGTTGTTTTGCTTCCGTCATCAACAAATATTTCACCTGATGTGGAGAAGTTACTGAACAATAAGCAGAAACAAATGTATCATTAAATAATTTGTCATTTCTGTATTTCATTTGTAGTTAGGAATTTGCAGTTTTTTTTTTTTTGTTGATTGTGTTAATTGTTATCCTGTTATTCCTGCAGTAAAATAAGAAACCTTTTTCAAATCATATGACATTAACTTAGTTGTTTTTTCTTCACCCCTCCAGACCAAGGCCGCCTTCTGAACGGAGCTGTCAAAGATCGAGATTATTTATTATAGTGCATTTGAATTCATGACCCTCCTTCGAGACACTGCATAGCTGTCTGGACCGTTATCTCCAAAAGGTTGCTGACCCCTACTTTAAACTAATATTAGTTTAATCTGAATAACTTCGGTTAGTCATTTTTTTAATTCCAAATATCTCAAAATATAACCATTAAAAGTGGCTGGAATTTAGTTAGAGATTTTACCGGGGGTGGAAATGGACTAATTTAAATTCGACAAATTCTGCCCTTTTTGAGTTATTAAAGTTTATGTAATTTACATAATAACATCAGACGAGCTGTATAGTTTACAAGTGAATGAAGAGAGTTTTTTGCCTGATAAGGAAGCTGCCAAAAATGCTCCCAGAAGAACTAAAGAAAATACCATTACAGCAGATTGTTATTGGTATAAACAAGTGTTTAACTGTGACATTTATACGAATAAATTACCAAGTAAAACTTTATTTTGATAGATCCTAAGCGGACTAGGTGAGGCAGGGTATCATAAAACAGATTTAATCTAATTTATGTTTATTATTAACGTTACAAGTAATGCCGTCCACGGATCTCTATTCGTGTACCCTCTTCTTCTTCTTCTTCTTTTTCTTCTTCTATGTGCCACTTGCCTTCTTGACATAGTCGATTCTATCTCTCCACAACTTCCTATCTGATGTGACTCTTAGCAGTTTTTCTACCTTTACTAGGGCTCCCGCCACCCGTTCTGCTATCTATTCACACAAGCCGATAAGGTAAATATCTCTCTTACATGTGAGGGTTAAGTTCTCCAAGCCCTCATTCTTTAATATATGCCCAAGGTATTTCAGCTGTCCCTACCTGATTCTGAGTATAAGCGTTCTTTCAGTCGCCATTTTCTTTAAGGCTTCCTTGTTGCAAACTCGATCCGTCCATGAAATTCTTAGTATCCTTTAATAAAACTACATTTCTGCTGCTTCTAGTTTGTTTGTTTTCTTCCACCTTTCTTGCTTGGATCTCGATGTCACATTTTCCATCCTCTGTTAAAACGCTTCCCAGATATTTGAACTTCTGCACCCGCTTGTTGATTATAATGATTTTCCAAGCGTAGCTTAGATGTGGCACAAGGCCTAAAGTATGGATCACCCAGTGGGGATCGAACTCACTACTCAATTGTAATTGTTCTAGCAAGACAAGCTTGCTAACCATTACACCACATCGAGGTGTCCCTGCTTGATGATTATTGCACCAATTCGTAACTAGCATCATGGGCTTTTTCTCTTGTTGATGACCATACATTCTGCCTTCTTGCAGTTGATGTTTAGACGTTTTTTTCTCGCTTTCTTCTACCACACTGTCTAGGGAGTCTTGTAGTTTCCTTTCAGAAACGACTATCAACACTGTGTCATCTGCGTATCGTTACGCCCACCGATAATAAATCCTGGTAGGGTCTACAGTTCTCTTAGGATATTGTTGCTGTAGAGATTGAATAACTCTAGGGAGAAGACACATCCTTGTCTCACACCCCTTTCTATTTATGTATAGCTACTCATTTAATTTTCTCTTTGTATGCAGACAGTTTGATCCCAGTATATGTTCTGAATTATGTTAACATCTTTCTCAGATAGATCGAGTTTTCCTCGCAGTTTAAATAGGTGTTATGTTCCATCTGACCATGTTTTTGTTGCTGAGTGTCAGCATTTCAAATATTTAACAACAACAACAACACTTCTTTTAAATGATACATAGAAAAGATTATTTTTGGAAGAAAAGTAAAAGCAAAACACCAGTTGAAATAACATTCATATATTCTTTTCGAAAATATACAAGACATTAAAATGTTCATTTTTTTTGCTGCAGTCAAGTTTGCTTTATAAAGTAATTAAGTGTTCTTGTTGCAGTGTGAAATATGTGGACAGACTTACTTTATGATGGTAAGCTTAATTAGTTTGTGAGTTCATAGACAAAGGCTTAGTAGGTGATGATGGTTAATTACTTCTATTGTGTGTGTGTAGACAAGGCCTTAGTCAACAACTGCTGGCTGTCTCTCTTCCATTGTATGTGTGTGTGTGTGTGTGTGTCATTACGTAGATCAAACTGGTCTCTGAAATTGTTATGTGCTTCTGAGTCAGATATCAATATAGTGTCATCTGCGTATCTAATATTGTTAAGATTACACTCACTGATAATAGATCCTGGTAAGCTCTTTAGTTTCTTTAGAATAGTGTCACTGTAGAGGTTGAATATATCTGGAGAGAAGACACATCCTTGTCTCACGTCCCTTTCTATTTTTGTATAACTGCTGAATTTTGCTCACTGTGTAAGTTCTGGATTATTCTATCTTTTCCAAATAGATCTAGCACTGCAAATGGATTCTTTGTGCCACACCTTGTCAAATGCTTTTATGTGATCTATAAAACATACTTTCACATCCTTCTGCTTCTGTATTGCTCTCTCTATTGAGGAAAAAAAGCAAGGACATTACAAGACATTAATAAAAGTGCGTTGTCATTCTATCAGATTCAAACGTTTGAATTTTTCTGAGTGGGCTTTTTCTAAGTACATAAACCATTTGCTGAAAAATCTTTTAGGTGTCGTGACCCTCCGGGTGATCATGGCTCTCTACAGATTCCGGTCTCCTGTAACTCTCTTAACATACCTCCAGCCTTTGCATCCATTTTGCGTAAACTCGTTATATAGATCACACCCTGTTTCCTTCTGCCCCGTTTCTACTTCCGTGTGTACTGTGAGGTTTCATTTCTCTAAAACCTGCTTCCTCATTATGTGTCATAGAAATTTAAACTGTCTTTTTCTGATAACAACGGTAAAGAAGGATTAGGTTTAAGAGAACTCGTGTAACCCTTAATATTTACGTGATGAGGAGAAATACACAGAAAATACATTTAAGCGTTTCCAATACTATAATTATTTCATATTTAATGCGAAACAGAAAGCTAATAAAATTAGAAAATAAAAGACTGAACGATAGAAACAAACGTAACGAAACGAGATATATTACTCTATCTACCGACTCTCAAAAATACAATTGAAAAGAATTTATCCAAGCTTTTAAATGAACTAGCTATTTTATTAAGACGAAAATCTATAGAAAGTGAACTGTTTGCTGAGTCACCTACAATAAATTTGCGTTCAAGCTCTTGCGTTTTCTCTTTCTTAGAAAATCTTCTGTTGTCACAGTGTGGTATACTTAGGAATTATAACGATAAAAAGAAAATCAAAAAGCATAAAGAAACTGAATGAACTCGGCTATGCTGTGAGTTCAGATGCCAGACGAAAAAAAAATTTAAAACATAAACAATGATAAAACTCAATCATTTAAAATTTAGCGTTCCCAGATATCCAGTGCTTCCTTTTCGGTATATAATTATAACCAATGCCCGTGTTGAAATCACGCGCCAATTCCTACTCACATATTTCCATCAATAAGAAAAAAAAAATACATTAGACAGATGAAGACCTTCTAGAGGACGAAACACGTTGCACAGAACTATTCTACTGTGTCATTCAAATACTTATATGGAGAGCAACAAACGAGAAAAGATTGTATAGAGCCCTGATCTCCTATAACTAGTAAGGATCGTGACATAAAGAAGAATTGTCCTCAATCACAAATATGACCCACACTTGACAACTAAATCCCCAAAATGAGAAAATATTACTTAGTATGATCTCAAATTGGAATAAAAACAGTGATGGCACTTAGCCTGAATCCATCATAAAATTCAGAATGTGGAATTAGTCAAGTTGGTTCACTGTGCCGTGCTAGATAATTTTTCATGCAAGAATCTATCTTAGACATTTATAAATCTACTATTCGTCCATTCATCGGCTTCAGTCACTTTCCCACCGCGTTAAAGTCGCTTCCTACCGCTTTAACGTCGCTTCCTCCGCCGTAAAATCATTTCTCATCGCCGTAATGTCGCTTCCCATCGTTTTGAAGACGCTTCTTACCACTTTAACGTTGCTTCTCTCCGCCATAAAATCATTTCCCACCGTCGCTTTCCACCGCCGTAATGGCAATTCTCACCGACTTAAAGTCGCATCCGAGAGCCGTAACGTTGCTTCTGACCGCCGTAACGTCGCTTTCCACCGCGGTATGTCTCTTCCGAAAGACGTAACGTCGCTTCCAACCGCCATATGTCTCTTCACACCGCCGTAATTTTGCTTCTCACTGCTGTAACGTCGCTTCCAACCGCCGTAATGTCACTTCCCACCGCCATAATTTTGCTTCTCACCGCCGTAATATCGCTTCCCGCCGCCGTAATGTCGCTTCCAACCGCCGTAATGTCACTTCCCACCGCCATAATTTTGCTTCTCACCGCCGTAATATCGCTTCCCGCCGCCGTAATGTCGCTTCCCACGGCCGTAATATCACCTCCCACCGCCGTAACGTCGCTTCCCTGTGTCTATTCTATAAATCTTTTCATAGCAATTGTTCTGATGATCTTTCCCCTTTGCTATACCTGTATATACTCTTTACTAATTTAGGCGCAACAGACTAGATTGGCAGGCAATTCTCCTAATTTCACTGTTTAAAATGCTATTTATAAATTCTCTGCTAAGAGTTTCTTCTCGCGTAATTTTCATTTGGGAACCACTATCGTAAAGGAAGCGATCCGTTTTTATTGCTAGACTAAATACACTGTTGGGAAGTCGGTTTTCGCTGGCAACTTTTGCACAATATCGAACGTTTGAAATTGTTTTTCATTATTTCGCTTGTATTGACTGACAGTCTTTTACGAATATCTCTGAATATCCTTCCTTGATATCAATTTCTTTTCCCAAATTGAACAAGATCGTTTACTTCCCTTGTCAGCAAAGTAGAGCTATCGCCTTATTGGTATTAATCTAATAATAATCGTATCCTAAGTCACAACCTACTCTAACCTAATCTTAAAATCTTTGTTGATATCTCGAGGCTAATCTAGTTGGTACTTACGGGTTTGTCAATTGAGATTTGTCCTTTTAAATTTGTTGATGCTTTACGAAAATTAATGAGGCAACACAAGGCTTATAACTCATTAATGTTTGCTTAATTATACAAAGAGATGAGACAGTTTATGTGCTAGTGTGTGCCAGACGGTTAGTTTCAACGAAAGTAAAGCGAGTTTTCTTTTACCAATCTTATCAGGGTTTCTCAAATGGCGTATGTCTTCAAGATCAGTCATTTGTGTATCCCAATCACTCCGATGGTAAATTACAAAACCGTTGACTCTAAAGTGCTGTAGGGATTTTATTCAAGCTGAACGCACAATGACAAACATACACACGCGCGAACGCGCATCCATACGCACACAAACAGAATCTTGCATTTACGTTTACACACACTGACACACAAATAAACTCGCATTTACACATACTTACATACACACACATACGCTTGTACTAGCATTTATGCACCTCGATACACACATATACACACACTTGCACCCATGTATACACACACTGGCACATGCACTGACGCTCGAACTTACACACATTTTTACACACGCAGATACACGAACATACGCTTGCATCTACGCTCACAATTACACAGGCTGGTCCATACACATACGCATATATAAACACACTGACACAAGCACATACGCTCGCACTTATCCGAAAATATACACAGCCTGATACACAAATATACGCTTGCACGTTTACGCTTACATTTGCGAACACTGACACACACACATACTGACTCACACACACGCTGGCACACTTAGGCACACACGAATATCTCCCCACAAATACTTTATCCATCGCAACATTCCAGACTATTTATACGTCAGGTGCATGATAAAACTTTAATTTAAACATCTTTAAGGTTGTTCCAGCAATTCAAACCTTCAAAAGTAGCTAAGACTACCAGATAGGAAAGATGGTTAACTGTGTAGCGCCAGAACGTTTTTCTAGTCATCTTGCACATTTACAAACCTACAATTCGATCGCGCATTGAATACTGCTGCCATACTTGTTCTGGTGCACCTGCTATTCATCGCGAGCATCTTAACAAAATCCAAAGGAGGATCTGCAATGTAATCAATCCTGACCTGGCATCTCGACATCAGTTACTTTCTCTTTGATACTTACTTGGCACAAGAATCCGTCCCTGTGCTGGTGGTATCACGGCTACGACTAGCTTGGACCCGCTCTGACCAGCTTGGACCAGCTATGACAAGACAAGACCAGCAATGACTAACTTAAACCAACAACTGACCAGCTTGGACAAGCTATGACCAGCTAAGACCAGCTTGGACAAGCGACCCGAGTGAAAATACTCGGGTCCTCACGTTAAAAACTGACCTTGTGTCACAACCTGACTCAGTGGGGAAGAGGTCAAGTAAATCTCTACTTTCTCTCGGATGTGGCTTCCCTCTGTCTTTTCTACAAATATGACAACTGTTCTGGTGAGCTTTTTTTCCTTGATATCTCGACTACCTGAATGTTTGTGCTACTAGATTGGCAACAATGTCTCACTGCTTTGCAACCATCAATTCTAATAGTTTCTTTCAGCATACTTCTCACCTGTGGTATTCCCTTCCGATTTATGGCTTCCTTGCTGCCGATAATCTTCAAAAGTTTAAAAGCAACGTCAATCGTCATTTACTGTCTTCTTTTCTTGTTCTTTTTCCCTTTTCCTCATTTCTCTTCGCTAAAATCTTCTCATTCTCTTTCACTCCCTATAACCCCCTGCACCCTAGTGGCATTTTCGACTTGCCTGGTGTGAAACGATTAAAAATGACCCACCATGCTTCTTGCACAGGATCGAATCATCCACATTGCATTCATATCCCCATTTGGACAGCTTCTTCCCAAGAACAGCTTCTTCCCAAGAACAGCTTATTTGGGGAACACTTCCTAGAGGATGTTTCCTCTAATCGCTGTAATACTATCCTTTTCTAGCCTACCTAATACTTTTACGTTCATACAATAACCTCATCCAGTAAGACTCTGCCTAAGGTGGCTCTTGGGCCTTGTATTGACTGAACATTTAGTTAGGGTTTTTTTATATATTTTGGGAGGGATTTCTCTTCGCAGGAGCAGAAGATGAAAATTCTTACCCAGCGGCTCCCTCCGCATGAAGTTACGAATATGGAAATAAGCAATCGCACATGAAATCACGAATGGCTCTTTGTCAAGAAAAGCACATGCAAACCACCGGTACCGGGGTTATGAGATAATTTATGTCTGAATTTCTGGGATGAGGAATTTACACTATTTATATTCGGGCTATTATCCTCATGTTTGTTGTTGCTATCAAAACGTTTCGGCCATCATACCCTCCGACTTCGTCAGGTGTATATCGACCTGGATAATCCACAGCGAATTCCTAACTGAATTTTTTATTTAATCTACAAGGGTAGACTGTTCTCGTCTCTTTAGGCTTTGTTGTTGCTTTATTGAAATTTTTCAAGACTTTTGTTTCATTACATCTCACTATTAAACCTTCCAACAATTTTCATCATTTTTGACGTCACGGGTACATTAGTATGGTAATAGTTAGCTATTAGTATTGACTATATGAGTATTAACTATTAGTAAGGTCTTCTATCCACACTGAGTGCTAGCTTTACAAAAATTCAACATTAAATGTCGATATATTGTAAAATCAAGAAACCTCTCTGACACATATTGCTGTTAGGAAAATTAATAACAAAGTGGAAATTTTTGTTCGTGTAGCGCATCTTCATCAGTCTAAAGTGATGTTTACAGTGATGCAATCACACATGCACACGGTGGAAAGTGGACGTTGAGTATTTTAATCTTTTAAATTTAGTTTTTTTTTTTTTAATATGTATTTGTGTATATAGTCCAGCTAAGTTCATTTAGTTTTAACATTTTTGTTATTACGTATATACCACTAGCAGCATGGCCCGGCGTTGCCCGTGCTTGATTAAAAAATCGTACGACATACAGCAATCGCTATCACTTGACTTAAAATATTTTTGCCTTTCCTTGCCTTTAAAGGAGTGCCCTTTACCGTGCTGATGTTGCTACATGTCTTACTTCTTGCCTATCTCACGCTGCAAATTTTTTCTAAGCTCTATACTAAACATTAAATCTATTACGAAAAAAGAAGTAAATAAAATGAACACAAAACGATCAGCTTTAAAAAAGGACTCGTAATTGGAAAAACCGAATGAAAAAAGAATGTTAACAACAAATACTTTTTCACACCCAACCCAGTTCTGCAGAATCAGAATCAACGTTGAGTTTAAGCAAATGAGCCAATTGGAGTAAAGTGCCATGCAGATTTAAATTTGTCCCACTTTTGACGTATGCAGCTATCGATTTTTTTGCATGCTAGCGTGCTAGTTGACATTCGTGTCAGTCAGCTGTTGGCTCTCACGCTGGCCAATAGAATCTTCCTGCCTATTCGTGGCAGCCAGCTATAGGCTCTCACTCTGGCCAGTAGAAAATGGCCGCAAACTACATGAAAACTGCCGTAGAAGCATGAAAAAATCGATTTTAAACTATCGATGGGAGTTGGGAAATGCAAAGTCGGTCTTGGCCTTCCCGCTAACTTGGAGCATGTGCATGTAAATTTTGGTGCAAATCCGTTGAAAATTGCGGCCGTGCATTCGTTACACACACGCGCGCGCACACACGCGCGCGCGCGCACACACACACACACACACACACACGCATCCTGCCTTTTATAGATAGAGATTGTGGTAATAAAAGATCTGCCAAGGAAGGTGAAATGTCGGACGCAAATTTACTGTCGATTATTTAGCGATTAAAGCATTTTCTATATACTTTCGTCTTGGTTAATTGCTTTCTCTTTTAATTAAAGTAGCATATGTTTTAAATCGAAATTATGGTCAGTCTCATTAAGGTGATCACCTAATACAATGAGAGCGCGGTTTTGTAAACGACATCCTTTATGTTCATATAACATTCCTTGCTCTTAAATTCCTTGGGCTTTCTCCTGTGTATTTTCTTCTTAATCTGTTTCACACAATGCAAGGCAGTAAAGCCACCACAACACAAGTGGTTATAAGGTGTGGAGTTATTAGGAACAGAAACATTAACAACGAGAGGAAAGAGAAATGAGTAACGGGGGGGGCATTTGATAGCGATTGACATTGCATTTGAATTTTTCCAGATGAAAGTTGGCTGGAGAGCATGAAGCCAGAAAGGAGTTCTACAAGCGAGAAGTGCGAGAAAAGAAACTGTTACCATCGAAGTTACGGCTACATCTAGCTAGTTCAACTGTAAATTGATGAGATCTCGACACCAGTATTGCGCTTAAATTTATAAAGTCTAGGTACCATAGCTCATTGAAACAATTACCATAAAAGTATTTAAAAGACACGTGGGGCAACCTTACGGGTGTAGGTAAGTGACTGAAGCCAAACCGCCAGATCAGGACTAATAATATTGCTGATTTTTCTTTGGATCTTATGAAGGGGGTCAAGGTAAATAGCAGGGGCACCGGACCATATGTGTTCCTTGTGGCAATTATTCTCTTATTCGAATGTTCATAGTGACTTTGATATCTCCAGCATAAAACTGACCCTCCATGTTGCAAAGAACAAAGGACGATGCCAGACATTTCATCTTCTTTGTGGTACACTCATTAATTCACGAGAATTGACGACGGAAAAAAGATTTGTGGTAGTCGTCGTGTAGAAAAGAGAGAAAGCGGCGCGAAAATCGAGTCAAGTTTCGCGGGCTTTGTGACAAGAAAAATCGGTTTACTGTTGCAGGAACTGTAAACAGGTGTTGTACACTTGTTTGGCACCCAACCCACCTACCATTCTCTTTTCTTTGGCTCTCGTCCGCCACACACCACCTCTGTCTTAGCGTTCCGAGTGGGCGGAGCTGTCGGTTGGGACTGTTCAAGAACAGATTCAAACACATCGTTTTCACGAGGTTTCTCTCGTATGCAACGAATATATGTCTGGAATATGCATCTCACTCCCTCGCTTTTCTTTACACTTTCACTCTCTCTCTCTCTCTCTTTATCTCTCTCTCTCTCTTAAAGTGCATTCAAATCTCTCTGTATACTTGAGGCTATTCATATATATATATTCGGAGGACGAATATTTTCTGTGAAAATTTCTCGACATTCAGGCCGGTAAATGCTGTTTAATACTGTTTATTATAAACAGAGTATTTACTTAAATATTTGTATCTATAAAAAAGAATGTTAAACATGAAAATGTCTTTATATATATATATATATATATATATATATATATATATATATATATATATATATTATTAATTGTTTTCACCCCAAGCAAGGCAGTAAAGCCACTAAGACACAAGGGGATTACAGGGTGTCGAAAAATTAGAAACATTAATAATGAGAGGGAAGAGAAAAGAGTAATAATGGAGGACAGTAAATAGCGATTGACATTGCATTTAAATTTTTTGAGATTAAAGTTGGAAGGGAGTTCCACATGCGAGAAGTGTGAGAAAAGAAACTATTAGCATAGAAACTTAGGCTACATCTCGCCAGCTCAACTGTAAATTGATGAGATCTTGACGCCAGTCTAGTATTGCACTTAAATTCAAAAAGTCTAGCTACCATAGCGAAGAGCTTATTTACACTCACACACACACACACACAAACACACACACACACACACATATATATATATATATATATATATATATATATATATATATATATATATATATATATATATATATATATATATATATAAAGGCAGCAATTATTCAAAGAAACAGGTTTGATTACAATGTCTTTCTGTTTAATTTTTGGAGAATAATTGGCCAAGGTTAAATGTAATTGACAAAAATGCTCAACAGACGGAATTAAGAGTTTCCAATAAGAAATAAAAGGAAAAAAATTACAGGGGGGGAATAATACTAAGCAAACAATATATATGCAAGATAAAACTAGGCAAACGGGATACAGTGAAGTCATTGTAGCGTTCAGACTTGAAGACAAGAAAGAACAATATGGCGGATGAGATCAAGAAGTGGGTTAGGAAAAAATCCCATCATGCAACTGCATGATTTGTCTATAAATTCAGGAAGGAAATGTTTTTGTAGTTATTTCCACGCAGTGTTGAATTCAAAAATTTTATTGTATTTTCCCGATCTTCGAATAAGGTAAGTGAATTGAACAATAAAAGAAAAGGTCCCAACAACACAGAAGATGTTGATTCAGTTCTTTGGTTTACATCCTGGTCTTCTTTGGAAAGGTGAAACGTTGAAATAGTCTACGTGACATCATGTGTAACGGTTATTGGGAGCGTCTTCTATGGTAAATGATATTTTATTTAATATGGATTCTTTAGTTTCTACGTTTTTGAGTCTTTCTTTGCACTGGGTTTTGTAGAGTATTTTGGTATTATCCACTAATATTTGTCTGCTAATAATAGTTGTATCAAACTTGGTTGCATATATATATATATATATATATATATATATATATATATATATATATATATGTGTGTGTGTGTGTGTGTGTGTGTGTGTGTGTGTGTGTGTTTATAAATCTCAGTCTTTTCCTATTTATCTCTATATTCATATTTCTACCTAACTCTAAAGAAGTATTGCAATTTTATTCATTCATCCCACAGATCTTTTATCACTTTAAACGTTATTTTTTAGTGGATAACCATGGTTGAGTAGACGTTCGTTTATTTTTTTAAACAGTATTTATTTTCGTCTACCGGCCTGAATATTCGAGAAACCTTATTAAAACAAACTGCGGTAGGACTCGGAACTGCGTCTCCTTTTACAAGAAAAACTGTTTTGGTTGTTGCCTTCAAGGACCCATGGCCGAGTGGATAAAAGCATTGGTTGAATCCAGTGACTTGACTCAAAGAGTTGCGAGTTCAATGCCTGGTAACCAAAAACTTGGAGAGTTGACTAAAAGGGAGATAACTGAGACATCCAGAAGAGGCATGGCGCGTCGAACTAGAACAATCTACCCGAGTGGACGAAATAAAGGGTTCAGTTGGAAATTTCAAAAACATGAATAATGTAAATAATGTAGATTCGACGGGCTTTTAACCGACTCGTCCACGAAGGATGTCGCCGATCAAGCAACGTTCTCCCCTATGTATGTCTGTATCTATCTATCTATCTGTATGACTGTATGCATGCATGTATGCATCTATCTATCTATCTATCTATCTATCTATCTATCTATTTCGACCTATTCAAATCGATCTATGCACTTCTCAATCTGTTCATTTTTCTCTCATTTTAATTATATATATCTATTGATCTATCTATCAGTCTATTCGTTTCTCTCTCATTTTTTAATTCTATATATATTTATCTAGCTAGCTAGCTAGCTATGATAAGATAAGGAACAAATAGGAAACGTTTATCAATCTAAAATGTTTCATTTTTATTAAAGCTTCATCAGAGAATGATATATGGAGAAAAAAGAAATTCTTGTATTTTTATTTTTATTTTTATGCTGTTTGACTTTCATTGGTTAATCAGGTTTGACGTGCATTCGACTTTTTAAACCAAAGATTAGAAGAATTTATGGCGTTCCGAATTCAAATAGAGACAATGTGTCGATCCAGAGTTTCAAGAAATTAACGGATTTCAAGATTACCTGAAAAAAAACGTAAATATTGTTTTATGTATGTAAGACTATAATAATTCTAATTTGTCTATGTGAGATTCAGATGATAATGTATATTCGTAAGTGTGTGTGTGTGCGTATGTGTATTTGTGCATGTCTGGTATTTTTTTCGCACGTTGATTTGAGAACGTTTTTACGTGCATACTTTTTGTTTTAGATAAACACACGTTGAATTCTTTAAAAATGGATTCAATGAAGGTAGGTGATGTAATATAATGTATTTGACGAGTGTTTATAGCTAGCATTATTGTTATTATTATGCTCTCGAAGTACTTGATTCGTAAAGAATAATGTTCTTTTTTTAATTTGTATGGCATTAGTAAAATTAAAGTTAAGGCAAGTTTGGTTTCTGTGTAGTACGAGAGAGTTTGAATGATTGTCTAAACGTAAATCTCTTTTATGTTCGTAGATACTGGCTTTCAGATCTCGTGATGTCTGTCCAGCATAAATTCTTTTACATTGCAAACTATTTATTTAATAAGTACTGGCATCTGAATTGGTGTTGGATTTATTTCTCTTCCTAATTATATCTCTGATTATCTCGGATGTTACATATGCAAAGGACTGAGGAGGAAAATTCTATGACTAATCCTGATTTTTTTTATTGGGGTTGGAATAGAAATGAAATAGTTAATTTTTAACAAACTTTCAAGTCTAATTTGTTATTGTTACGTATTAATAAGATGTCGAGAAATCGTAGAGATTTGTTTATTTGAGATTCATGAGTGAATTTGGTGGCTGATTCAACGTTATTAAGGTTCTTTATTATGTCTAATAAATTTATATTATAAGTATCTATCTATCTATCTATCTATCGATCCATCGATGTCTCTTCATATCTAGCGAACTTTGTTTACATTTGTTCATCTCCGTCAGCTCCTATCAATCTCCGTTCAGCTCTTTCTCTCTCTCTCTCTTTCTCTCTCTCTATCTCTCTCTCTCAATATATTATATATATATATATATTGCTCTTCAACTACGAATGGAGCTCTCCTGGCTACTGGAGGGTTTCGTATATAAAATTTCCCTTTCTCTCTGTCATGCGAAGAATAGGATCCCTGGCTGATGCCAAATCGGTTGGATTACTCTCCAAGCTTAACACAAAATCGTGATGAAATCATACATACACGAAAATGTGTTCATCAACAATTAATAATATCTAAGGATCTGAAGCTCATGAAGGATTGAAATAAAGTTTATATATATATATATATATATATATATATATATATATATATATATATATATATATATATATTCCAGTCTCATTTTCAAACTTATTCAAGATTATCTTCGCCCTCTTTAACTGTCTAAGTTTTTGTCCTGGAGTAACAATGTGCGTCACAGTTTTCACGTACGATGTTATTTTCAAGTCTTTTTTCAGTCATAGCTGAAACTCCTCTCTCACATGCCAAACGTCTTATGGATTGAGTTGGATTTTTTCTCTTTAACTTTAAATTGAAATGATGATCCCTTTTCCTGTTATGACCTCCTGATCTAGTTTTCCTGCTATCTCTTTTTTTTAACCTATTCATCGTTCGCTTGATAGTTCTTGAATGGATTTTGAAGATGGAAGCCAGAGAATATGATTAAGTAAAACGAGTACCCTGATTTGGTAAACTGAGAAGTTTTTAATCTCTAAAATGACAATGTAAAGGCACACTTGACAAAACAAATATCCCAAAATGAGATCAGTAGCTTAGTGTTGGATAGCCCTCTCATGCTGGGAGATATTGATCACTGGGCTAATTAATAAAATGTTGCAGAGCCTCCTCGTTCTGGGGAGCTCTTGGGTGGCAGTGTCGATTCAATAATAACGTTGCCTTATTCTTTCACGGCCGGTGATCGCCAGTTGTTTTGGTTCGACACAGGGGATTTTAACTTAGCAATTTTATTAACGTATACATCTTCTAACTAGCCAGAGGGGTTGCTTTCCCCCTCCACTGGGGAGCAGTTTGCAGACACGAATAGGAAACACGTCTACATTGTTTGACGGTTTAGATGGGACTCCCCGAAAACCTTTCTCTAATAGTCATTACCACAATAGTTCAACCAATCAAAATCGACTTCCTTTATTTTGTATTGTATCTGACCCCTAAGGTCAATCTGAGGACGTCAAAGCAGAGATACACTTCCCCTTTAAAATAATAATCCTCTAAACTATTATTTAACACTGGGAGGTTCTTCCACATTCTCCACGCCCACCAAATTTAACATCAACACCAATTTTTTTTTATCATGAAACAATCAGAAACGAAGAATTTAAAAACAGATTTCAATTCTTTTTTTCCTGGAATAATCTTCATTTTTTAACACATGGAATCGAAAATGTTTCTCTCTTTTAGCTGCATTCATTGTAAATGAAGGTATATATATTTAAACAAAAAAAATACCAGAATC